GCCACCAGGTTCCCCCAAATTCTCTGGCAAAGTCCAAACCGGAGACCACTGCCCCAGCCTGGGTACAGCACTGGCTCTGTGTGTGCTTGTTGCCTTTCTTCCCGCCCCCCCGCACCCCCCGCCCCACAGAGACTTTATGCACCCAGGCCTCCCCTGGCATGGGTCTGGGACTTCCTTTCCCTGGGAGCAGAGGGCGCCACTAGGCTGCTATCCCTGACCCAGCTCTCCTCCAATGTTCCCATGGCAGCCACAGTCTCCAGCTCCAGGCCCGGGGACCTTTCCCATCAGCCTGAAGAACCTCCTTACTGCCCGTTCTGAAGTGTCCTCTGCACACTTTCACTTTCAAACTTCCTATCAGCTAACATTCTGTTGGCTGTTCACTCTGTTCTTTGGAAGATTGGCTAGGTGTCCCAGTTGGGTGCATGAGCAAGTGGGCTCAACTCCCGCCTTCTTCACCACCATCTTCCTCTCTCTTGCTCAGTTATTTTGAATATGATGGCCATACAGTACACATATTCACTCAATAGCATCCATTGCATTCACTGATATATACAGTGCAGTTCTCATTGTTTATTCATACGCATTCCAGTTCACTTTCCTTAGCTGCCAGGTTACATCTTTGTCATGCAAACAATTGTGGTTAAATTAAAAATGGCTGGAATCTTTCTGGACAGTCCTCATATACACATGACTCTCTCTTTCTAGCTGCAGTAGGGAGTCTCTGGCTGGCTACAAAGAAATAAGCTTTTATTATGTGAGCTGCACATGGAGAAAGGCAACAAGAATGAGAAACATGGATGGCCTGTAGGAACTGAGGATCGCAGTCCTTCAACTGTACTGAACTAAAATCTACCAAACCCCTGTTTATTGAAGATGATACTGAATCCCAAATGAAAACTCAGGCTGGTTAGTATTTTGAATACATCCTTTTTAGACCCTGAACAATGCCCTGACTTTTTCTGACATGTAAAATATGTGAGATAATAAATCTATCTTGTTTTAAGCTTTTAAATATGTAATACGTTACATATCTGTGAAAACTACTACAAATCCTAACCAAATCACACAGAGCTAGGCCATTTACAGAATTAACTCATTTTTACCATTTATTAGATCAAAATAGAATGTTATACAGGGTATTTGCCAGGTGGTCTGCGTAGTAGAGTTAATAATTGAAAGTAATTTAACAGGGAACAAAACAACAAGAAATTTATTTTTAATGCTTACTATGCCCTTTATATGTGTTCACATTTAGTCTTCAAATCTACTCTTTATAGTACATACAATTACCTCTATTTTCTTGATTAAGAAATTAAGGGTTAGAGAGTTGAAATGATTTGTCCAAAGCTTCACATATGGTAGATTTATTTTGGACACATAACTTAATCATAGACAATCTGATTTTCAAGCTTGCATTCTCAACGTTTACATGCCAAAGCCACTTTATTTCCAGTACATTTTATTGTACTTCTATCCCCCAACAATGTCAGCACACTATATATCTGAATCTCTGATCCAGTCCCCTCAGCCAAGTCATCTTTCTGCATAGTCCATTTACTTTAGAGCAATTTGAAAATTAGAGTAAATATTTTATCATGTATGATATTTGTTTTTAATAATTATCTATGAAACAGCAAATTTCTGTAAGTATGTGAATGAAGTTTATTTCTACTTCATTGAAATAACTAAAATGGTTATTTTATTTGGGTATAATATTTTTACAGTTGAATCTGAAAATAATTGCAAAAATCCTGAAGTAGAACACACACATACACATACATACTCACCCAACTACCCATTTACTCACATACACAAACAGTCTAAGTTTATGAAACAATATTTTAGCTCACATTTTAGAAGTATAATTTAGAGCAGGTTATTTGCTCTGAGAAGTAAAAATGGAGATAATACTAAATAAATTGTTTGAAAATAGGAAAATTCCACCAAGTATTCTCTTTAGGGATTTGGGGTAAAGGAAAGAGAGGAGTGGAAAGGGAAGAAAAAGACTAACATTTCTTGAAAATAGCTATGTATTAAGTGTTAAATTTTTACAATAGTCCAAAAACAGTTATATCTTTCATTGTACTGTTAGAAAACTGAGGTGCAAAATTTAAGGACATTAACCAAGGTTGATTGAAAAAAGCTAACAACTGACTGCAGGAATACAAACTCATATCTACCTGATTCCCAAATCCTTGCTTCTTCATGATCATGGTATCTCCCCTGCCAGGTAAGTATTCCAAATCCTTGCTTCTTAATATGATATTATTCCTCTCATCATAATACCTTCAGTTCTAATGTTCATGATTATATGAAAAATAAAACACTTTTTCAGGATGTACTTTTTTTATTATGACAAACCATTGGCATTATGCATATGTATTATTTATGCTAATATACAGTTGGTCTTCATTTAAAAATATGAAAAACTGTTACTATATGCATCTGACTAGAAAAAAAGTCTAATTAGCAAGTTCCAGAAGCAGTTGTGAGTACTAACTTCAAACACAATTATGTTCCCGTCTGAGAAGAGTCTTTATTTTCTAAAAAATAGTTAGTTATTCATTTATTTTGGGGGGTTAACTTCTTCTTTTTAATTTATTTTTAAAAATATTTTAAACTTTAATAACACTTTTCAAGAAGAGAAAAATATAGAAAATAATTTTTATTTTGTAACTTTTTTTAAAGTTCTTTACCATTATTCAAATTTTAAAAAGCTTTAAATTTTCTTGACTTATATATCAATTAAGCTTTTTTTAATTATTAAAATTCTTTCTTTTACAGTTTCACAATGTTCACTGCCAGGTGACTCTAGCTAATAAATATAAGCTCTCCCTGCTATTATTTAAGCAAATATTCTATTACTCCAAAAATTTAAATATTAAAAGGTCTTACAAAGATGTAGTATATGACCTAACAACTGTCTATAGTAGGCATAAATTATGTACATAACTGTGAAGGACGGTGAAGGTTGACATCAAAAGCTAGGTTAAGTGTTTGGCAAGACCACACTTGACCACTTGTATCTGCAAGGCAGAGCAAGCTGGCAACTGGTGACAGCTTGAACCCAAAGCGGGGAGGGTTGAGAAGGGAGTAGATAACTACATGCTTCAGCTGACCACAACTGCAACCTTTGCAGGAGAAAGCTTTATCATGTAGATAGCCTGGGAACAGAACAATCTGTGCTCACAGTGTTTCCTTAAGTCTGCAAAACTCCCTTGAGCTTTATCTAACCAACCCCTATAAAATAAACATGGAGACCGCGGTCCTTGTCATTGTCTCTCCATCAGAGGACAATGCCCCACCTGGCCCCCGCTGTTCCTTAAACTGTCTTGTGTTGTGTCTTTGTGTTGTATTGTCTCTTTCTCAACCTCCCATCATCCCACCTCAGGGACCACCACTCAGTGCAGGTCCTGGCACATAACCCATAAGAAAAAGATTCAGTTTTAGCAGATATGGGTTCTAATAATACTTACTTCTTTATTATTAGCTGTAACATCATAACAAGTTATATTTTTTCCAAATCATTTAAATTATGTGTATTTTAATTTCTCCACATACTAAACAGAGGATAATAATGTCAGCATTACTTAAATCAAAAGTAATATCACAATAAAATTAATGAATTTAAATGAAAGAATGAAATGAAGTAAAAAGATGCCCAAGTGCTTGAGAAGCTTAAATGCTAAATAAACAGGGAATCATTTTGTTTGCATATCTGGCAAAATGATAAAGTTGGTACAAAATAAGAAAAAGTACACAGGCAAAATAGTAGGTGCACTACCTGAGAAATATTTGACTGTATAATTCAAGTTTATTGACAAACATCTTTTAGGGAAAATATGGAGCCTCTATTTGGAGGAAGTTTTAGAAAAGGGTAGAACAATGTGGACATAACAGTGAGAAACTTGAGGGCTATCTTACACTGATGGTGAACACCCTTGGTAATGAATTCTGGGGTGGGATGAGTTGGGATTGGGTGGGCAAGTAAAGAAAATTCTGAAGAAGCCAGGACACCATGGTTTCCTTCTTTTGAGTGGTAAAATCTAGAGAAGGAAATGACATAACTCTTCAACAAAATTTCTGTTTTGTTTTCTTTTTTATAATTATTTTATTACAGATTTAGCCACTTATGGCATACTGCTTGATTTATACCGTATTTTAATTATGCATGCTGTTCTCGTAGTCCTTGCTTTAGACCAAACAATGGATTTAAAGTTCTCGTATTGACATAGTTACCAAGAAAAACTACCATTAGATGTGAAGAAGTACAACATTAAAAAATAAGCAAACAAAAGCTCATAAGCACAGACAACAGTATGGTAGTTACCAGAGAAAAAGGAGGGGTGAAGGGAGTAGTAAAGGATAAAGGGGGTCAATTATATAGTGACAAAACATTTGACTTTGGACGGTGGGCACACAATGCAATATACAGATCATGTGTCATTGAATTGTACACTTGAAACCTATATAATATTATTAACCATTGCCACCCCAAGAAAGAAAACAAATGCTTTCTAAAAGCTGGCTTGCTGGATCTCAAAAAGTTCATAAATATCAAACGTTCAATCAAAAGTTTTACAAGTATGTTTTTCTCTCTTATTTTCTGACATTTTTAGATGTCCTCAAAACCTCAATATCAACTCAATCTTAAAAAATAGCACTAAAAACATCACAATAAAATGTCAACATAATGGTAATAATATATACTTCAAGTGCTTTTGTTGCCTAATAATATCATTTCAAAACCAAATTCGCACTCTGTGTAAACTTATGTTAATTAAAAAAAAAAGAGTGAGAACAAGTTTAATAGGAAGAGCACAAGGAGTGAAATGGGAAGCCAAAGAGAAGAGACAGTCATAAATACTCCTATTGCCATACTTGATATGTCTCTATGGTTCATTGATGATATTTTTAGACCTTTGGGCCTTAAAAAACATTAAGAAAACAGAAATCAGTACACTTAAACAAAAGAGAATTATTAACAAAAGGCCACTTACCAATTTCTTCCAGATCTTCCACAAGCCTTTCAGGTCAACCTTAATATGGAGACGTAGATAAATTCAATCCCAGCATCACATTAGAGTAGCCCTGCTAATAGAGACAAATAATTGTCATTGCTTTGAAAATTAACTTTTAATTTATATCATAATTGTGTCAATGACTTCATGGAACATAAAACATATTCAAACTCAAATAAAGATAATTTTAATGCATCCATTGCTTTGTGAATCTTCAAGTATGTATGACACGCTTTTCTACATTTTGATTTGGAGAACTTTAAATCCATTGTTTGGTACAAAACAAGGACCACACAGATAGCATGAGTTGCATTTTTAGGAGGTGAAGATTTTATTTCTTACTCTTACAATTATTATTAAGGCTTAAACTTTAGGGGATTAAAGTTTACATACATGGTGACTGAAGATATTTGACTGGGTGAGGAGTACACAGTGCAATACTCAGATCATGAATCATAGACATGTATACTTAAAGTCTATATGATCTTATTAACCAATGTCACCCCAATAAATTTAATACAAATTTAAAAAATATATAATAAAATGTCTCAAGTTATTTATCTCAACTCTCTCAGAAAACATGACTGATTTCAGTTGCTTCTTTTTTATTTTATTTTTTATATTCAATATATTTTTTCATGGTGAATACAATATTTTATTTTGTTGCATTTTCTTATACAATGAATTTTTTAAATTGTTCAAATACTTTTGTCTCTACCTTCCTGCCACCACTTTCCCTTGCCCCCTTCCTGCATCTCCCTCCCTCAATCCTTTCCCACTTTGGCTTTGTCCATGAGTCCTTTATATATACTCCTGAACTTGACTCTTCCCTTCCCTTTCCCCGCCCTCCCCTTTCCTGTTGATTCTGTTGGTTTCTTTTTTCTTTCAGTGTTGCTGGTTATATTTTCCTTGCTTGTTTGTTTTGTTGGTTAGTTTCCACTTATAGGTGAGATCATATGGTATTTGTCTTTCACCTCATGGCTTGTTTCACTTTAGCATAATGCTCATCAATTCCATCCATGCTGTCCTGAAGGGTAGTAGCTCTTTTGTTCTTTCTGCTGCATAGCATTCCATTGTGTAAATGCACCATAGTTTTTTGATACACTCATTTACTGATGGGCACTTAGGTTACTTCCAGCACTTGGATATTGTAAACTGTGCTGCTGTGAACATTGGGGTGCACAGATTCTTTTGAATTTGTGTTTCAGGATTCTTAGGGTACACTCCAAGCAGTGGTCAAAAGTCAGGTCCATTTTTAGCTTTTTGAGGAAATTCCAAATTGTTTTCCACAGTGGCTGCACCTGACTGCATTTCCCCCAACAGTGTACTTGGCTTCCCTTTTCTCCACAGTCTCACCAGCACCCATTTTTTGTTGATCTGTTTATGATGGCCATTCTGACCAGTGTGAGGTCGTACCTCACTGTGGTTTCGATCTGCATTTTTTTGATGGCTAGTGATGCCGAGCATCCTTTCACATGTCTCTGGGCTCTCTGTATCTCTTCCTTGGAAAAGCGTCTGCTCAGGTCCTTTGTCCATTTTTTGATTGGATCATTTGTCTTCTTGGAGTGGAGTCGAGAGAGTTCTTTATATATTTTGGAGATCAAACCCCTATCTGATGTATCATTGACAAGTACATTTTCCCATACTGTTGGTTCTCTTTTCATTTTGCTGATGTTTACTTTAGCTATGCAGAAGCTTCTTATTTTCATGAGGTACCATTTGTTTATTCTTTCCATTATGTTCCTTGCTTTATGGGACATATTGGTGAAAATATTGCTGTGTGGGATATCTGAGAGTTTCCTGCCAATGTCCACCACTTGGACTTTTACGGTGTCGCGACTTATATTTAAGTCTTTTATCTATCTTGAGTTTGTTTTTGTGTATGGTGTCAGTTGGGGATCAAATTTCAATATTTTTCATGTAGCTGTCCAGCTCTCCCAACACCATTTGTTGGAAGAATTAACATCATCAAAATGTCCATACTACCCAAAATAATTTATAAATTCAACTCAGTCCCTATTAAAATGCCAATGATGTATTTCACAGACATAGAAGAGACATTTCAAAAATTTATATGGAACCATAAATGACTCCGAATAGCCTCAGCAATACTGAGGAAGAAAAACAAAGCAGGAGGGATCACAATACTGGACATAAAACTATATTACAAGGCCACTGTAATCAAAACAGTCTGGTACTGGCACAAGAACAGACACATAGATAAGTGGAACAGAATAGAAAATTCAGAAATAAACACGTGTCTCTATAGTCAATTAATACTTGATAAAGTGGGAAGAAGCTTAAATTGGAGTAAAAGTAGCCTCTTAACTTACTTCTTTAACACCTACTTAATAAGCTTTGCAGGATTTTACATAATTAACAAATTAATAGTAAACATTTTTTCCTTACAATTACAGTGTAAGCATTATTACCTTAATTCTTATTTGAATTTGTATTTTCCAGATCTATTTCCTGTTTAACCATTTTCTTTTCTAACCTTTTTCTTCTTTAATCTGAAAGTTTCAGTGCAAACCTTTCTTAGGCTAAAATAAGTGCTTTGAAGTTCCAATAAAACTATAGGTGTTAGTAGTGTATAGCTTGTAAATGAGCTTTGACTCACACACCAACATTGACTTATTGATAGTGACCAGGTGAAAAACAGTATGAAGACTAAATCTGAATCTGCAGCAGAAAGGAATACTGTGTTTAATTAGCAATGTCCGCCACAGGCATTGAAGAGATCAATGACATCATATGTCATCTTGTTTAACATTTAGACATTCCACTAATTTTATTTAAATAGTCTCTAAACTCTTTGGCTAAAAATATTGTTCTCCAATAAAATATTAGTGATGGGTCACCTATTTAAACATATACAAATAAAGCATTCTGTTTGAATCCGAAAACCAAATACTGTCTCATTGCTATTATTTTCCCAGATACCTTGAGGCAGTCCACAAAGCATAACTTCAAACCATTGTTTTAATCATAAGTATCAAGATAACTCAAACTCACAGAATTTAAGATAATTCAAACTCTTTTTATAGTCTAGCATTCTTTATCTATGACCTCTGTTGTCATATATCTCTCTTTTTAAAAATATGATTTAGAAAAAATTTTTTGGATGTTATCAGAAATCACAGCAAGATATTCACAAATACCTAATTACTACATTTAACAAATAAAATTTTGCACATGAGCACGCTTCATTCTTAACTTTGCTTATGTTGATCTTTGTTCATAATTATTTCCTGCTTGCTATATGCCACCAAAAAAAAAATATCTTATTAAAATGTAGCATTCAATATTATTTCCTAATTCAATATGCCTTATTTTCTTTTTCCACATTTATGGATATTATTTTTTCCTAAATCAATCTACAAATTATGTATGTTTAAAATATAGCCTAAAAACCTAATTTTAAAAGTACATGCTATAAAAAGTCTATTAATATTAAAGTAAAATTCAAAAACTATAAGGCAAAATGAAGGAATCGATTGCCAAACAGTAGGATGCAGGTGCAGACACAGTACAGTTCAGAAATAAACCAACATTAAATGAGATATTTATATATCATTATGGTAATATCACAAAGTGAAAGAAAATGTTAGTGTTGACTCTTTGTATGGAGAAAGAAAAATAGTCTCAGAATATGACAACAAATAAACCTAGTTCCTTATACAAATTTAATTCCAATGAGATTAAAGAGGTTTTTTATTTATATATTTTTTATTTTTTACTTTATTTATTTACTTTTTAAATATTTTGTCTCTGCCTCTCCCCTACCACTTTCCCTTGCCCCCTCCCTCCTTCCCTCCCTCAGCTCTTCCCCTTTGGTTTTGTCCATGAGTCCTTGCTATATGTTCCTTGACTTTCCCCTTCCCTTCCTTTTCACCGCCCCCCTCCCTCCTTCCCTCTTGTCTCTGTTGGTTTCTTTTCCTTTCAGTGTTGCTTGTCTTATTTTCCTTGCATCTTTGCATTGTTGGTTAGAGGTTTGATCTCCAAGATATATAAAGAACTCACTCGACTACACTCCAAGAAGACAAACGATCCAATCCAAAAATGGGCAAAGCACCTGAGCAGACGCTTTTCCAAGGAGGACATACAGAGGGCCCAGAGGCATTTGAAAGGATGCTCAGCATCAATAGCCATCAGAGAAATGCAGACCAAAACCACCATGAGGTACGACCTCACACTGGTCAGAATGGCCATCATAAACAGATCAACAAACAACAGGTGCTGGCGAGGCTGTGGAGAAAAGGGAACCCTCGTCCAGTCTTGGTGGGAATGCAGACTGGTGCAGCCACTGTGGAAAGCAGTGTGGAATTTCCTCAAAAAGCTGAAAATGGGACTGCCTTTCAATCCAGTGATTCCCCTGCTGGGACTATACCCTAAGAACACCAAAACGCCAATACAAAAGAACCTATGCACCCCAATGTTCATAGCAGCACAATTTACAATAGCCAAGTGATGGAAGCAGCCTAAATGCCCATCAGTAGATGACTGGATCAAAAAGTGATGGTACATATACACAATGGAATACTACGCAGCAGAAAGAAAAAACGAACTACTAAACTTTGCGACAACATGGATGGAACTGGAGAGCATTATGCTAAGCGAAATAAGTCAGGGGGCGAAAGACAAATACCATATGATCTCACCTATAAGTAGTTATTCTATTACAATTTACAAAGGACTCAGTTTTTGCAGTAGACCTTTTTTAAATCAGTCATTTACATGAGAGGAACATTGCAATCATCATTTATACAGATGCTGCAAATATCAAGAAAGATAACAGCTAAGATTTCTTAACATTTGGTTCTGCAAAGGCTAAATGCTGTAAAACTGCCAACAGAAATACAGAGGGCTCACTATAATTAGCATCCAGTACTCATTAAAGCAGTATGAACTGCATCAGGGATGTGATGTTTGTCTGTTTTATTCACTTTTTAGTCAAATAAACCTAACCTCCTGCCTGGTACTTAGTAGGCACTCAATAAATATTTGTTGAATGGATGTATTAATCTATTGACTAATCACCATGGAATTCCAGGATAAGTGAGGGAAT